GGGAATCTACAAGTGCCCATGTAAATCCATGTAGATACGAGTTTGTAGGCATCAACTACATGGGTATGCATATACAAACATGTATATGTGTATACACATTGTGTATGTTCCTTCTCTTGAGTTGTATATACATATTTATATATATCTGTATATATATGTATCTATCTATATATATATATACACATACATATATGGGTGCTATACGAACTCTTCTCCGAATACATGTACATATATATATATATATACATACACATTTATTGCATGCAACATCGGGTCATGGTCCTGAAGCAGGAGGCCGAACCACTGCGACCGATCCAGAGGCTGCTTCAGCAGGTTGGTGTTGGAGCCTTATCTCACTGGGTTTTCAGTATAAGTCAACGACACACGGAAAGCATGCAGAGAGCCATGGAGAGAGGTTTCGTGAAAACCTAAGAGAGGGCCAGAAGGAGAAAGAGAGCGACTAAGAAAGAGAGCGCGAGAGAGACCCAGACAGGCTCAGGATGAAAAATGAGGGGGATACAGAGTGAGAATGCTACCAATGAGAATGAATAGGCACTTATATAATTATGTACAACGATGGAAAGCAGATAAGGATATGGGAGAGGCAGGGGTCCTGATGAGGAGTGTATGCGCAAGGAGCTATCTCCAAACTGATTGTACAACCTATAACTCTGCATGACGAACTATAGGCGGTGAGTATCTTTTATACATCCACTTAGTGTCGTTGTATATTTCAGTTTGGCATTGCTTCTATATTTCTCGAAGCATCCAAGCGTGCACCCATATTAGAATGATGCATGTATCAGGTCAAGCATGTATGTATGCCTGCATGCATTCATGCCGGCATTCTTGTATGTTGGTCTGTATAGGTATGTAACTCACCTGCATGAGAACATGTGTCTGTGCGTACACATATATGTGCTTGTTGCACTGTTCTAAACGTGCATGTCTAGCTGGCACAGATGTAGGTACAATGAGGGTTGGAGAGCAACGGTTGAATGTGTAGGCATGCATTTATCGATATACACACATGCACTATGAAACCACGTTGCAGAGAACCTTGCAACCAAAGAAACTTGGCAATCTGCTGCCTCTTCGCCGCAATGAGTGCTCGCATCTGCTCCTTCATGTTGGCGATCTGCTTGCACTTGCCTGCAGTAGCACAGTCAGTTTGACATACGATACCCGATGAAACCACTTACACAGACTGTATACATGCATGTAAACTGCTGGAAGTTAAAGTCTTTCACATGCCATCAAGTTGCACTGATCAGGAGACTTGTAACACTTCTCACAATTGCCCGAAGCATGCCAAGTCGACTCGCGAACCTTTGCAACCTGGGATGGCTGTGTCTCGCAGGCGGCAGTGGCCAGCACCTTTGACCGGTTAAGCCTTGGCTCTGTCGCCTTCGCTTGGGATGGGAGGCTTTCATTCCCTGCTGCCTCACACTGCTTTGTGTTGGATCTGGCCCCTGATCCAGATGATCCAGATGAGGCTTCCGGTGGGGATGGCACATGAACAGCTACGGCTGCTGGTGGGGATGGCTCATGGGAAACATGTGGTGCGGATGGCACATTGACAGCTACGGCTGCTCGCGGGGATGGCTCACGGGATACGGCTTCTGGCGGGGATGGCACTGCAGCTACGGCTTGCGCAGGGGATGGCACAACAGCTAAGGCTTCTGGGTTGGATGATGCAGCAGGTGCGATTGCTGGTCTGGGTGGCCCGGAGGAAGCGGAGGATGCTGAGCTTGGGTCGGGGATCGGATCCTGCGATCCGCGGGGCTGGCTGTCCAGCCAGCGGCGAAACTCATCCAAGTCAGTCTCCCTCTCGACTGACTCATCGTCCTCGCCCTCATTCTCATCCCCAGTCGAACCCTCCATACTGGCTGAGCTGCGAGCTCGTAGCAAAGCTTCCCGTGCAGCCTGTGCAATGTTGGCCTGCCTCATAGCTCCAGCCATGTACGTGTCGATGTGCTCCTGCATGCATGTAACAAACTTATATGGTATCATACCGATTTTGCACTCAAACTACACTGTCGGATACATCACATCATACATTGAAAGTTTGCAGCCTCTGCACGATGGGTCGAAACCATATAAACTTTTGAAAAGCTTCCGCAACTCAGCTAAACAATCACTCACATAAACCGGTTCCTGCAGGTCCGGCCGGATGATCAACAGCAGCTTGTGAAATCGCGTGTCCTGCACAATACAGAGTTGGCTCCATGTTAAGGCCTCACACTCTTACATTCAAAAAATATATGTACACTATGCTACATTTACATCACAAAAAGAATGCACACACAAGTATCCTTCGTCACCTCTTTCTTGTTTGCCTTTCTCTTGATAAAAGACAACATCTTCTTGATCTCACCAGCCGTTCTGTAGCAAACCTTCTCCGAAACCTTAACATGCACCTGCCGAAAGAACATCTCGATCTCCTCCTGTAATGGGGTGATGTACGGAAGCTTCAGGTCGTGGTCACGCATGCGCTCCAAGCAAGGAGTCAACACATCAGTATTAGCAACAGCATTCCCACGGTTGCTATCGCACAACTGAGCACCAGGAGGCAGCCGCATAATCAGGCCCGTATCACGAGCAGTCTTGCGCACGCTTGCAATTCCCTCCCACACACTTGCAAGCCCGCTCACATCCATCGCTTGCCCTTCACCTTTCATTGCTGCTGCCATATACCGATCAGATCGGTACACACACACAGTGAACCGAAAGCCCTTGAACAAAAGCTGCAGTTTTGTATCATGTTCATTGTCAGAACACTCATGCTCGCATGGATAGCCCTGGTGCAGGCAACACGAATGGATCTATACAGCTGCTGGCGAGATAAAAGAAGCTGAGCTTCGAGCTGATCTGCAGATGTAGTCCGACAGGGGCACACCCACATCAGCATGCAAAGACTTCTAAAGTCTTCCTTGATTAAGTGGCCTACGAAGACACAATCCTAATGTATCCATCGAGTCTGTATGGCAAACCCTGCTTGTGTCTGACAGCCTTCCCACAGGCTTTGATGTACACAAGTCCAGACTACCTTCTGAAGTAAGCTGCCTTCAACCCCCTTGCATGTAGAGATGGCCACACTCAATGCCAAGCAAGGCTGGAATTTCAAGGGTATTCAGGATTTCCGGGTTTTTTTAGAATTGCCAGGAATGATTTCTTCATGGGGTGTCTTACCGGGTTATAGTTTTCTAACCCACTTAAAAGAAGGCAAAGGACTTAGCAGGTATATCATCAACCCTTACACCCTACACCCTATAGATCCCTTAAAGAAGCCCCTTAAAGGTACCCTTATAGATCCCTTTAAAGGAACCCCAGGATTTATATCATCAACAGTACTCTCATGATCCTTGAAGTAGACTCTAAATCCCCCTTATAGAACCCTTATAGATCCCTTTAAAGGAGCCCTTTAGGGAGCCCTAGTTACTAAGTCCCATGTTCCTTTAAGTACTCAAGGAACCCAAGGGAGGCACCTCCTCGGCCCCCGTGGCTTCGCAGGCATTGCATCGCAAGGGCCGCAGAGTCACGCACCAGGACACGCGCCTCCTGAACAGGGCTGCGTTGAGGTTCAGGGTTCAGGGTTTAGGGTTTAGGGTGTTGGGGTATTGGGTTTAGCGGTTTAGGGGTTTAGGGTTTAGGAGTTCGGCTTTTGTTTCTGGGCTGTCTTTTTAGGGGCTCTGCTCCGACTGCGTACAGCTAGAACCCCTTACCAGGATGAGCCAATTGGCTGTTTGGGGCTTATAGGGTGGAGAGTTCATGGCTTCAAGGTGTATGGTGGCTTATGTCTAGGGTTGGATTTAGGAGTATATCTTAAAGCTTGAGGGTTGAGGGTTCAGGGAGGGCTGTTTAGGGTTTAAGGTGGAGAGTTCAGGGTTTGGACTTACGGGGCGCCAGAAGGGTTTCATGATCTTTTAAAGGTGGCTCTGTAGGTATGTAAGGTTCTTAGAGCTTGACTGTATATGAAGGTTTTGATCAAGGCTTTGGGGCTAAGACGTTAAGGCTTGGGTTTGAGTGGTCGAGGGTTTGGCTTTTGGATTTCTGCGCTTGGGAGGTTTAAGTACAGGGAGTCTGTAGTTCTTAAGGGCTTCAGGCCCAAACGGTCCAAGTATCATTATTGTATATACGTAGACCCCCAAAATACCCTATAAGTATATACCAGAATGATACTTGGACCCTTTGGAGGGCTTCAGAAAATCGAGCGTCGAAGATTTTCGGGTTTCGGTGTTCAGGCTTGGGAGCTTCGGCTTCGGGGCCGGATGTGGGCTTTAGGGTCCCAGAGAGCCCAATACCCCTTAATTAAGAGATATGGCTACAATCATAATATGAAGCCCTATAATTTAAGCCATATTCCTTAATTAAGGGGTATTGGGCTCTCTGGGGTTGTTTTGGCGGGATTTTGGAACCTATGGCAAGACAGGGAAGATTGGAGCAAAGGGCCCAGCCTGCACCTTGGCAGCCAACTGCTTCTGCAGCTGCAATGCCTGCCCGGACAGGTTCGGAAAGGTTTGTCTGTTTAGGATTAGGGGTTTCAGGTTTGGGGTTTGGGAGTTTAGGGGTACTTAGGATGAGGGTTTCCGGCTAAGTGAGCGCTGAAGGCTGGCAAAGCCGTAATATGCCCATTTCATGCACACGAGCCCGGAACAACAAAAAAAGACACCCTGCTAAACCCGGACCCTGTATATACATCCCCTACGCCGTTAACCCGAAAGTCTACCGAGCCCTCAATTTGTGAACCCTGTGAGCCCTTAACCCAATGAAGACCAACACCCGCATGAGTTTTTTCTGCCCTGCCTTGGCTGACCGTCTCTCGGCTTAGGGTTGCACATGGGTGCGCGTCCTTTGCTTTGTTACGGAATCCAGCACTGTAGCGGGCACTCCACCACCTTGCACTATCACAGCTATCATATCACTGCAAACTCTTACTTAAGGCTCCAGTAAATGTCGTAATAAGTTAATCTCATATTCCTGTGAACAAAACGAGACTTCTAGGAATAGCGCGGTCGCTTCGTGCAGACACTCGATAGTGTCGCAGCAAGCATGGGCATGCTGTGATTGAGCATAGCCTCATTAAGATTACTTGCACTGGCGGAAGCTGACCTGAGAAGCACCTGAATAGACTCGTGCCGTTCCCGGCATGCTACCCAGAGAGGTGTGGCATTTTGTGGTCCGCAGACCCTTTCCGTACTTGCCCTAGCATCCAACAGCAACTGCACGATCTCCACATGGCCTTCGCGTGATGCCAACCACAAAGGCGTGAAACCTTGTACTCTTCCCACTTTCTCCTTGTCGGCACCAGCTTCCAGCAACAAGAGTGCAGTGTCAATGGAGCCTCCACGTGCTGCCATGGCCAAAGGTGTGATGCCATTGGGTTCAACCTTGTCCTTGTCTGCATGCGCCCGCAACAAGAGCCTCGCGATTTCAAGATGGCCGCAGCCACAAGCGAGGCCTAGAGGCGTGTCATGGCCTGCGGCCTTGTCGGTGTCGGCCCCTGCTTCCATCAAAACTCTGACGATTTGCCAGTGTCCACCGCGAGCAGCCGCGCCCAGGGGTGCATCACCGTGTTTGCCAGACGGATTCACACTGGCACGAGCCTCCAGCAGCAATCTCACCACTTCCATATGCCCGTTGCCTGATGCCCCTGTGAGTGGTTCTCCATCATTGGCCGGATCAGCGCCGGCCTGCAACAACAGCTGTGCAATGTCGGCATGGCCACGAGTAGATGCCAGGGCGAGTGGTGTTGCGTGGCACGTCGAGACATCGCAATCGGCAAAACTGACCGCGTTTGAGTCCATATCAGCTCTGGTAGATGCATCGGCCCCATATTGTAGCAACAAGTGCACAATCTCGATGCATCCTTTGCTTGCTGACAAACCAAGAGGTGTTCCTCCTGCTGAAGCCTGGTTGGCATCGGCTTTGGCAAACAACAGCAGGTCCACGATCTCAACGTGAGCCTTGTCACACGCTATTGCCAGAGGGGTCATTCCCTTAATCGCTTTTCTAGTGTCATGCTTCAAGGCACGATTGGTCGAGCTGGGCTGCGCAGCCTTATTGATGCCAGCTCCAGCCTCCAACAACATTCCTGCAATGCTCGCTTGGCCCTCGTGTGATGCCAATGTCAAGAAAGTGCCGTCATCTGCATCGCTGAGAGTTATGCCAGCCTTCAATAACAGCTCTGCGGTTTCAACTTCGCCATTGTAACATGCCCAGTAAAGCAGGGTCACGGGTTCTTTGCAGACCTTGTGCACATCTGCTTCAGCTTCTAGCAGTCGGCATGCAATCTCAGTGTGCTTTCTGTAGAATGCCCAAAACAATGGTGTCTGTTTGGCCAGCTTGCGTACACGTCTGTCCTGAAACCGACCGAGATTAATCATGAAGTCGCGATTCGCCATGAAGCTGTCCGGATGCTGCGGCCGTTGCAAAATCTCTTCAACACGGCCAAGACTGCCATTAGAAGCTGCTTCACGCAGCTCAATTGCCTCATCGTCAGACACATCGGAGAAGGGTAGCACCACCAGCTGAAGATCAAACGGCGGTTCAAGCGCGTCAAGATTGAATTCATCCTCCAGGGTCTGTTGTTCGTGCAGGAGCCTCTGCCTAAATCGCGTCACACCACATGCCTGCTTCAGCTTTGTCTTCAGTTCACGCACATCTGTCAGTCCCTCAACTGGTATGGAGGTGACTTTATTCCCGGATGTGCTCCAGATGTCCAGCATGCCGATAGCTCACTATCGGAGCCACAGGACGTGCCCCAAATCCCACAGCCTAAGGCTTAAGCATAGGGTAGTGCTTCAGCTGCCTAAAAGAAAGCGGACATGAGTTCTTGATTTCTGCAGGAGATGACTAGAGTTTCGCAGATCTGCGAGCATTTACAATGGACCACAGGAGATTAGTGATAGCGACAACACTACCATGGTACAGCAGTCTATAGGTTCCTGAGCCCAGTGGCCGTGCTGCACAAACAGGCGGTGCACGAGACCTCATCGGAACAACCTGCAACGGTCTACTTGGAGGGGCAAACTCAGTAAGTAGGTTATAAGTAGGGTTATAATTGGGGTAACTCCATTTAGGGTACTTATAACTTATGAACTACATATTAAGTCCCTTGCCCCTCCAAGTGGGACCCAGGGTTCCAGGGTGAATCATACTTCAGTCGGATTCAATCTGCAGGCGAACCATCCGAGCTCTCCATTCTTCAAAAAGCTGAGACAGACATTCCGATTGCAAGGCACACTTGCAATCGCAGCAGTTCTCAAACCCAAAACCCCTAATCCGAATTCCCAAACCCTAAACCCCTTAAACCCCAACTCCCGAACCCTATATACGTCTCTCTGAGGAGCTCACATGGCTCGGTGCGGACTGCGGCCGCCGGTCGTTCCGCAGCGAGGGCTCTTGGAGGGCCAACGCCTCGAGGGCTTTGAGGGCTTTACAGTAGTAGTAGTAGTAGTAGTAGTAGTAGTAGTAGTAGTAGTAGTAGTAGTAGTAGTAGTAGTAGTAGTAGTAGTAGTAGTAGTAGTAGTAGTAACAGTAGCAGTAGCAGTAGCAGTAGCAGTAGCAGTAGCAGTAGCAGTAGAAGTAGTAGTAACAGCAGAAGAAGTAGTAGAAGAACTCAACTCTTACTCGACTAGTAGCAATAGATGTGGTTAAGATTTAGGGTTTGGGATTCAGGGTGTAGGGTTTCCGGCTGAGGCTCTGCTAAGTTTTCAAGGATTGAGAGTCTTGGGCTTTGGAGTTTGGGGATTTAAGGTGTTGAAGGGCTTTACGCGTCAGGGGTTGAGGATCTAGTGTTGATCGATTTACAGTAGGCCTTATGAAAGGTTTTACCAATGTACTGTATGGATGCATACACACAGCATACTTACATAATTTACTTGCATTGGGCCGAAATTGTAAACCCTTAGAGTCCATCACGAAGCGCAGAAGCTTGATTTCTGACCTTCTCAACATCCGCCCCCCTGTGCGCTTGTCACCGGCCTGTGTGGAAGCATCTAACAGGAACTCCATGTGCGAGAGGACCATCCTCGCGTCGCACAACCCCGAAAATAATGAAAAGGCACCACTCTAGACTTGGCTTTTGGGGTATCGGGCTTCATCCTGCCTTTCTAAAACCCAAGTCATAGACCCTACACTGCCCTGCACTTTACAAGTCAATAAAACACTTTAAACCCCAAAGAGGTCATGAGCGACGATGGAGGTTCTTATGTTGCACAACCACAATGATAAACGGTTTAGAGTCTACGAGTTCCTGAAAGCCCCCTTGAAGCGCTCATAGCCGGGTGTTCCTAATTCAAAAACTTCTGGAGAAGTCAATGCTTCATAGTTTCCAGCCGAGCAAAAGATTCAATGTTAGGAATTAAAAGCACCATCCGAATTTCAAAGCCCCTATAACCTTACTCGAAGAGTAATTTTATCGACACCTAGATCCTCATAAAGTCCTTATGCACAAAGAGAGCACACTACGCAAGTCTCTGAAAGCAACGACCTCTTCTGATCCTGACAGTAATGCTCTCTCTGTTCCTAGTCTCACTGGCCCAAAACCCAAGGAAACAAAAGCTGACACTTTCAGAATCGACCACCTTATAAGAACCCCAACAGTTGAAAAGTTGAGTTTACAGCCAATGAGTAGTAATACTGCTGACCCCGGCAAGGACTGGGTGGACGTGCAAGACTAGCTCGGAACCGCGGCCAAGTTTCAAGAAACTCCATCAAACCTATACCCCAACCGCTAAACCTTACGGTTTAGGGTTTAGGGTTGAGGGTTTGGGGCCTAAACTACCCTTCAGCCCTCACCCTCAGCTTCAGCCCTACACAGACCCCTGTCTCCAACCCTGACACCTGGCAGCCATGGAGGCATCTTCTGTGACAGGGGACGCTAGGTTATTTAGAAGAGCCCCTTCTACAGGGGTCTATACGGGTTACATAAGGGCAGTGGTCCATGATAATTATACAATTATACTAGAGTATCCCCTGAAACCCGGCTCTATTTATTAATTGACTATTGCGCCTATATTATACCTTGGTGAAAATTGCGTTAGCTCGACCGCCTCTTAGACGCTCGTTAAGACTCATGTTACATCTAGAATCTAGACACCATCATGAAACCCCAAAACAGTAATTAACAGAACACGTTGGCAATGTCAACCTTATAGAAACCCTTCAAGGAACGTTTCCAAGGGCTCCTAGGACTCATATGTTGAGGGTTTTGGGCCCAAAGACCGTACTTTTTTTTGTTTAGGCTTTTGGGCTATTTGATCCCCAAGGGTTTATGGACACCCTTACAGGAACCCGGAACCCCCAAAAGTGAAATTCGAGGAGAACCCAATGCACATCCTCACGGCCCCTGAACCCCCAAAAACCCTACCCATAGGCCCCAAAGTAATTCCTGTTTGGGATTACCTTATAGGATTCTAAGTATGAAGCCCAAAAAGGAATTACTTTGCGGCCTTAGGGTGAACCCTTCCTGTATCCCCAAACCCTACAACATAGTAGGCTATGACCCCTTAATTGGAGGGTCTGACCCTTAAAACGGTAGGTTTTGGGATCCGCAGGTTCACCCTAAACGCTTAAACCCCGAAGCCAACATACCCTGTAGAAACCCATAGAGGAACCTCTTTAAAGTATCCCTACAATGTACCTTAAACCCCAACACCCAAACTCCCAAACCCCTAAAACCCCCAAACCCTATAGATCACTTACAGTGCCCTTATGGATCCTTTTAAAAGGAGCCCCTATAGATCACTTTTAAAAGGAACCCCAAACCCCCGAGTCCCGGACTTGCACTGCGCCGCCGCCTCGTGCAAGGAGGCAAGCGAGGCCTCGACCTCCTCACGGCTGGAAACCTGCCAAACCCACGGTTCTTGGGTTTAGGGTTTAGGGGTTTAGGGTTTAGGGTTTAGAGTTTAGGGTTTAGGGTTTAGGGTTTAGAGTTTAGGGTTTAGGGTTTAGGGTTTAGGGTTTAGAGTTTAGGGTTTAGGGTTTAGGGTTTAGGGGTATCCTATAAGGGCTTTTTCGGGGGGCTCCTAAGAGGGTTTAGGAGAAAGGGTCTTCAATTGCCAAACCCACAAGTCTTAGGGGCTCATGTAAGGGTTCTTTTGGGGGCTCCTAAGAAGGTTTAGGGGTAAGGGTCTTAAATTGCCAAACCCACGGTTCTTGGGCTTTAAGGGATCTTAAGAAGGGATTCTTTCAGGGTTCCTTTGGGTTCCTTTGGGTTCCTGTAAGGGTTCCTATAAGGGTTCCTTTTTTTGGGGGGGTGCTCCGGTTGATGATATGAATCCAGGGGTTCCAGTAAAGGGATCGATAAGGGTACCTTTAAGGGGTTGATGATATAAACCCTGCATTACCCATAATAAGGAGTATGCCATAATTCCCAGAGTTTGGGGTCCTTGAGGTCATGCAGGATTTACATCATCAACCGTCCCATACAAGGGATCTTTGAAGGGTTCCTATGAGGGTTCCTATAGGTTCCGAAAACAATCGGTTCATGCAAGGGCTCCTATAAGGGTTCCTCTGAGGGCTCCTGAAAGCGGTTAGGGATTGGCGTTTAAGTCGTTTGTTCGTCGCTTCTGTTCTTGTTTGTGCATGCCAGGGAAACGTTCATGTGCTGTTGGTTTTACCCGGACTTCTACAGGATCTTCTCGATGATGTTGTAAGTGTCGCGTCCGTTAGGGACGTGGGGATTCGGATTGCTGGATCAGGGGTATGGGCTTAGGGTTTATATGGTAAGCTTCTGCTTTCCCTGGGGACCACAATAGCCCAAAAGCCTTATATAGTATGGTCTTTGGGCCCAAAAGCCTTCATATATGACTCCTTAGAGCCCTAGATTTTCATGGGTCTTCTACGACGAAAACTGGAGTTAGATCCCAGCCCCCAAAGCCTGGTGCCCGGAGTGGGTCGGCTTGAAGTTTAGATGGGTCTAGTGGGCTCAAGGCTTTGGGTTTAGGCTTTCGGAATTAAGGTTGAGGGTGTGGGTCTAGGGTTGCGGGTTTAGGGCTTATAGGGAACGCTCAAATACGTTCTGCCAGCGGAATCAAAGGAGGTTTGGCATTGCAAGGCATCCTCCCTGACCGTAGTATAAACGAATTGAACACCGTATAACTACCGGTAACTTCTATCACCCTAAACCCTTTTCTGAAGCTGCACGCAATCCTCTACGAACACCACTAAACCCAAAGAGTCCCACAGCAAACCCTCACCAGTAGACCTTAAACCCACAGCCCAACAGCCTGAACGCTCTCAACCACGGTCCGGGCTTCATGCACGGGTTAAAATAGATAGCAGCGGTATCCCGTTATGGTCCACTAACGTAGAAAATGTGTCGCAAACTCTCACAGTCGGGGTCCCTTTACTGTAGACTCATAGCAACTCTTGCACTCCAGCGGCTGCCACTTCAGAATGTACGCGATTCTGAGCAAAATGTCCAAACCGAACATGCAAGAACTTGTCAGCGAAGACAAAGTGACTGACTGAATGTTTGCAGCCTGATCAGCTGCTGCCACAGCTTGCAACACGTACTTAACTGCAGACCAGCAAGGCCCCTAAATACAGCTGATAAATTCCATACACAATTTCCAAAAAAAGTGCATCAACAACTCAACACAAGTCATCTACCTATCTATCTACCTACCTATCTATGTACACACACATATATCTTCATTCATCTGTTTATAGGCTTTAGGCTAGGGGCTTCGGGGCCACCGGACTCTGAGACTCCAATTGC